CACACACACACAGAGTAGAACGCAAAAAGATTGGAGCACACACAGACAGAGATTAGCACACGCATTGTGCAGGGATCACATGCACAGTTTGAAAATACATGCTGGTTACAATAAAAGCCCACAACGAAATAAATGGAAGAACACCAGCATGTATGCCATTCATTCACAGACAGATCTGGACAAGAACGTCCACTGAGCAAAATGATGCAAAACCCGAATTCTGCTGGTTTTACATGCTGGTTTTAATACATTTGATTTCATTAATAAATGGAATACATGCTGGTTTTAATACATTTGATGTCATTCATGCAAAATGATGCAAAACCCGAGTTCTGCTTCCAATACCTCCAATTTCATTTCATAGAGTCCCCATCTGGACTCGAACCCGAGTTCTGCTTTCAAAACACTTCATTGAAATGCGGCGGACCTGAGTTAAGAGTCCAGAGAGAACTACTACATGAAATGAAATCGAATTATATTAAAAAGTTTCAAAAATCAGAATTCCACCTGAGACGCCGATGGCAATAAGCAGAGTTTTCAAACCCATACCACCCATTTCAGGGTTAAGGCCCCTTTGTATCCCGCACCCTTTTCTTTTTCTTCTTCTCTTCTTTTTTTTTTAACGTTCGTTTGTGCTCGAAGCTTTCACATTTTCTCCTGAATGAATAAACAAATGGCACATGCCGAATACGCAAGAAATGAAGATTCACGCAACTTCAAATAATGGATGACGCCTTCACATAATGGACAGACGGCGCTGTTCTCTCGGAGGTTGTCCGCGAGAGAGAAACGCTCTCTACTGTTCAGCTCTAATCGACCAATATCATCATTATCTTGAAGATGTCAGCGGAACAGCTATTCACATATCAGCGGGCTGTATACTCGTCGCCATCTTGAGACTCAAACCGCAACCCACGGCTACAACTACTCCTGTCCACATATCAGCGAGTTATCCCCACGACCCCTGTCCACATATCAGCGAGTTATCCCCACGACCGACGATTACCCTCGCGTTGTCCGGTCCGGTCCGGTCCGGAGCGGAAATACACGTATACATTCAGTACCAGGATGCATAAATGATATGTTCGAAAAGAAAAAAGAAAAAAACAAAAAACAAAAAAAAGAGAAAAAAAAAGAGAAAAAAAAGCTCCGTTCAGGGGAAGAAGGGAGTCCGATTATAGCGTTAGGGTTTCCGATAGAAAAGCCGACAGGGGCCCAGGGCTTACGCAAGGATGACACGGATAAATTGAGAAATGGTCAAAATTAAAAAAACGAAAAAAAAAAAAAGACAAAAAAAAAGAAAAGAAAAGCCGACACAGGTCTGAGGAAGGAGTGACAAAACACATTGCCCACTGGTTAAGCCTGTGTCCACCCGAACACAACGTACGGTCAGTAAAAAAAGCTGTATTTAGCACAAGTTCGAGTCTACACAGAAGTAATGACCGTACGTTGAAGTTGGGTGAAAACAACACCCGAGCGAGGATACACCATGCCCACTTTCATTTTCTTCGATCTTCTTTGGAAGAGGGAAAAGGACACCTGGGCCGTGGTCCCACTAGCGAAGGGGATAGGATGGAAATCCTGAATCTGGCCATGTTTAATGCAGAGACACAGAAAAGCATTTCGATCTCGATTTCCTGCTCCTGTCCTCAAACGCGTCCAGATTCAGGCATTCAATGCAACACTCGTTGCTAATGGGACCATGGCCCGGGGGACGAGGGACAAGTACGGTATTTTGAAATATAGTGTACTCGTACACTACCGTCTTCCCATTATGTCCCCTTTACCGTCTTTCGACTATGTCCACCGCTTTTGGAAAAGGGAGCAAAGGATGAGCCAGAGAGATAGAGAGAGAGAGCGAGAGAGAGAAAGACAGGAGAAGGGTGTGAGGAACGTAAAGCCCTATTCAGGATTGTGTACAGTAGTATGCTACCTTCTTTCAGTTATGTTCCCTTTGGAAAAAGGGAGCAAAGGATGAGAGAGAGAGGAAGGGGAGGAAGAAGGGTGTGAGGAACATGAAGCTCTATTGATTAGGCTTGTGCAGGGCATGGTGCCTTTAATCCAATTTCTTTCCTTTCATCTTCGTTCGCAAAAGGAAAGCAATGAAAGTACCATATATTCTTTTCGTTCACCCGAACAGAAGAAGGCTCGGTCATTACACCTGTGTATCAAGACTGAAAATTGGACCCAATACGCGGGGCTATATAACAACCGCGGTGTTCTAGTATTCGTGTAATGTAAAAATTAGTCGGTGTCTTCACATGGTGCTAGGTCCCACTTGCACGAATTAAGAGAGAGAGACCGTAGATAGCCGAGATCAACGGCGGCGATCTCCTAATCCGTGCAAATGGGACCTTGCCCCGGAAACAGAACGCCCTGTCATTCATTTACAGCTCTGCATCGCGACTGACATTCCGCCTCCACCAACGGCTATAACGACCGGGCGTTCTATTCAGGTGAAGACCGTAGAGCGTGGAAGATGGGAGCTGAGGGACGAGACTGCTTTTCCCCAGATGGTAGGTGGTAGTCTACTACTACTACTACTACTACTACTACCTTCAATATTCGCATTTCCATCTTCGAATCTTCGCATTTTTATCTTCGAATCATCGCATTTTGATCTTCGAATCTTCGCATTTCTATTTCGAATCTTCGCAGTTCTATCTTCGAACGTTCGCAGTTCTCTCTTCGAATCTTCACATTTCTATCTTCGAAACTTCGCACTTCGATCTTCGAAACTTTGCAATTCGATCTTCGAATCTTCGTAATTCTGTCTTCGGACTTCTTTGAATTCTGAAAATTGTTCGAAATTCAAAGACGTTCAAAGAATTTCTAAAGAAACGCGTTTGGGACTCTGATTTCCGTCTTACAATCGAAATCGTCCATAGGCCCAGAAGAGGGAGGGAGGGGGAAGGGGGGTGGGGGGGGGGGTATAGCTTACGTACCCCCCCCTTCTTCCATTTAATCCCATCCACAACGCCACCCTCGTCCCCTTTTTTTCCGATTAACACCCGGGCCGAAGGTGACATTGTGGACGGGGTTAAATGGAACAAGGGAGGGGGGCAAGTTACACCCCCCTGGGGCTTTTTTTCAAATGCCAAGCGACACCCTGTCGGGGTGTAGCTTTCCCCCCTTCTTCCAGAAGAGCTCCGAAACAAGAGAACCATAGAAACGGAAAGATGATCGATTTTTATTGCTTGCTAAGAATTTAAAAAAAGAAATCAGACAAGAGAAATTTTCTCAAAAGTCTCGACGGGAGGGCCAAGAACATCGTTCTTTTTTCTTTTTTTTTTGGATGAGAATTCCACGCCTATAAAGTTTAAACTGCATTCAACGAATTGCACGAGAAAAAAAAAAAAAAAAAGAATTGCACAAGGTCGGGACTCAGGGTATGGCTGCAACCAGCACATAGAGGCGGCGCGTCGCTCGGAGAGGATAATTCCTCCGAATCAAACAGACAGTGAAGAAGAGAACGTGCGGTAAAATCATACCTGTATTTGTATTTGGACCAACTTTCAGTCTACATACAGAAACAATAGCACCGTTCCATTCGGGTGAAGACAGGTCGTCAAATTTGGACCGACCGATGAGATCGATCTTACATTTTTTCCTACATAACCCACCTTCACCCGAATACAGACACCATACCATCACAGTAGCTGAATGTCGGCCAATTTCGAGTCCAGATACAACCTTCTTCACCCGAATACAGACACCATACCGTCACTGTAGCTCAATTTGGGCCAACTTCGAGTTTAAATACAACGACAATGCCGGTACGTTGTACTCAGCTCGGTGCACAGAGGGGTTAGAAAGCGACCAAGTTCCGATGATGTTTTTTTTTCCTCAACTGTCGTAGAGAGTGATGATAAGAGGAAAGGCTTATTTCCCAAAAAGGTGATAAGGGCTCATCTGATATTGCCCACAAGGTGGTAAGGGCTCATCTGATATTACCCACAAGGTGCCCACAAGCCTTTCTTATAAAGGCTTATCAATGCAATCAGGGGTCCCCG